TTGCCTACTGCCTAAGCAAACTCGGGGAAAACAAGAATGGAGCAAGACCAGCAAAAAGGAGACGCCTGGAACAAAGATCTGCCGCTAACCGGAGGAAAAGGGATTGTCATGAAGAAAGTGGAGTGCAAGGGTATTTGGCAATTAAGTGAAGACGTTGTCAATGAGTAATGGCCATTTTGAATAAACCAGTACAACTTAGGGGGCCTGGCAGTCAGGGAGCTGTGCAGACGGATAAGCACACCGTCATAGAAATTAGGTATTTGGGCCAAAATACACTAGAAATCCACTTGAGATGCCGCATGCGACCAGAGGTAGGTGTCCGCAGTTTGCTCAGATAACATGGATTTAATCAGAGACGACCAGTGTATAGAAGGCCTGATATCCGCAAGCATTGGAATCAGAGTTTAAGTGCTCCGCTCAGTGAAGCGGCAGTGCATGTGCTTCTAGGGCACCTGGAGTGAAAGGCACACAGTGACTGGAACCGAGTGAAATGGGTCAACCAGAAAGATAAGGAACGGATCTACGAGACAATGAGGTGATCCGGATTGGAGGCCCGAGTCTTATCAGCCGAACGAAAGAGAGTGGGTAGGGGTAAATAGCAAGTGTGATGAGGCCACACTAGGTTTTTCACAAAAGGGCACACATTTTGAAGATTGGAATGTAAACAAGTACGAAGTTGTGATAGGGCGGCAGTAGGATTAGATGGTAAAGAGTAGATAGATAGGCCAGGACAGAAAGAGGAGTGACAGTGTCACCGTTTTCGGCAGAACGGTGGTCGAGAGATTGACTTCACTTGTCTCTTTGACGAATTCGTAGCTTGGTGCGGAGATTGGCAAAGCTCACTGATGATGCCGACTACGATGCCAACGAAATGTTTGACAATGTATCAAGTCCACTGTCAGATGCTGGAAATCATGACAACTACTATGGCAGACGAATTCAGACTAGGTGCCTTCTACATAGTCACCCTGACAACAAGACCAAGTTGCGACAACGAGGTCAACCCACTTCTATAAATCCAGCTTGACTTAATTTCCTTCTCAAGACTTATTGATATTCTCGAAAACTACACTCTCTGCTCATAAGGTGTGCTCAATAAAACGTAAGCAGAACCTATATCTTATGGAAAATAGTTCGAAGGGACATAAGCCTTAAACTGCAGGAAGTACTCAAGATAGTCAAAACAATATAAGTAATTGTTATTGTATCATTCTGTATGAGAAATTTTTTACCTTATTAATAGTCAAGGTCATAGTAGGCAAAGCAAACATCTGCTTGGCCCATATGCCTTTTAAAAGCAACGTCTAAAGGAAGCTTAATCGGTCAATTAATATTATTTTTGGTTTTGAAGATATCGCGGGGCTAATAATTGCAGAAGTACACTATTTTGGCCAATCACTTATCCGATTACTTCTGAACCCACCCATGATAAAATGAAAATAAGGTTAGATTATTGCCGTTTGTTTCACCTTACTATGAATCACGAAATGTCGCTATTATTCAGCCTAGGCTATTTATTCGATGTCGCCTCATCGTATCATCAGTAACACTGCTGTAATGTGAAGCATAAATTTGTGGGTTGAGAGTAAATAATGTTAGAGAATATGCCACACTATCCCATTCCTATAATGGAATATTAAACCACACCATTTTCAACTTATTTTGAAAGTAAAACGTATGTCCGTCATAAAAATCGATAAACAACCCACTGTTGTGCGGTACGATTATACACTGGTTGTATAGTTATGGTGTAAAGAACATGTCTCTTATATCTCACTTCTACAATCATGTACCATTTCAGACAATGAGGTAAGGTTGAAAGTGCAATTTTACCTGCTTAAGAATAACATTTGGGGTTAGATAAAGTTCAAAAACAACTCCAAACATCGTACATAGATTAATTTAAATAAACTCCATTTATTCTAGTAGTGTAATATATATATATATATATATATCATTTCATCCGAAGAAAGGGAATAAGAAGCTTAATTTAGAATTTGCAATAAATAATGGAATGCACCTTGCATATATACAATAAAGCAATCATAGCTGTAATCAATAGGATAAAGAATGTTCTTACGTGATGCATATGACGTGCTTTATGAAAAAAACAGCTAATCGAATCTTCGAGGTAAGATTCCCAGGTCTAGTTTCATGTCCTATAATTAAGAAATTTATCTACGTCTGGTAACTAAGATAGTTCCAAATTATGCAGTGATAAAAATAATTATTTATTTGCCCACGAAAAAGCTAACTAGGGTTATTATACTAAGGTGTGAAATGTTTAAAAGGAAAGTACATGTAATAAATGTATTTACCATTAAGTGTAAATTAAGAAAGATTATCTAGTCATGTCTGGCTCAAGAGACACCAGTCTAAAGGCAATGATAAAATTTATTTGAAGGTATGAAGACCAAGATAGTGTGGCCTTTTATGTGGTCGCAATCTCCTTTCGTTGCATGGAAATTGTTTGACCTTGTTTTCGCAAATTGGTCATATTGGTAGGAAGACCTAGAGGAATTCACCAATCCGGATTCCATTGTATGCATAATCATTTCCAAAGTCGGACTGTGGACATTCTCAGACGTTTCGCCCCATTGTAGTCAGCATCGGCAATGAGTAAGAGTGAGAGATGGCCCATGTGGCAAAGGCTTGACCATGAGACTTACTCAGAGACTTTACCCTCGAATTAGTCACCCAGACGCAGGGTATGGCCAATAACGCCTCGGGTGGCAAAGATAGGGTGGCAGGGGTCGAGAGAAATATGTGAACCAAGGAGAGGGCAGGCGGATCTTACTGGGCAAGAGAAAGAATGTGGTAAGACCTAGGGAAGGAGTACTGCGTAACAATATGGCAGACTCTTATCAACATTCCCAGCAGAAGGATGAAGGGGGTGAGAAGTCCAGCGTGGATTGCAGAGGGTTTTCATGAAAGCCGTTCAAAAGGGCACACCGTACCACATTTAATTAAGCGATTAAAAATTTGTGACAGTAAAGGCGTGATAAGAGGATATAGGAAATGTAAATAGGCCATTAGAGGATGGGAGATACCATTACTGTTTAGCACACGTTTGGTCAAAGGATAAGCTTCACTTGTCTCTTTTGACGAGTTGCAATATGGCTCTACGAATGGTGAAACTTACAGACGATGCCAGCGAAACGTCTGGGAATGTACCGCGTCAACAGTCCGAATTTGTAAATTATTATGCATACAATGGACTCCGGACAAGGTACGTTCCTCTAAGTCTTCTTACCAATATGACCGAGTTGCGTAAACAAGGCCAGACAATTTCTAATCAAATTTATATTTCAAAAGTGAATATTTGGTATCGTGGCTATATCACAATACATGCTTTTGGGAAAAGAAAAGGTGTAAGAGCGTTATTGTGATTTTAAAGAGATTTTGAGCGAAAGTTAGTTTTTTCAAGAGACTAGTAGCTAAAAAGTCATAAATTAAGTTTGTTAAAAAATATGAGAATTAACATTAAACAAATTATCTCGCTATAGGATCGTAGTAATCGGTAACATATGCTCTCATTTAATCACACTATACTTTGGGTCGACCCTCAATTCAGCTGAAATGTCGCTGCATAACAATGATATAGCTAATATCAACTTAAAATTAATATAAAATTAAATGTTGTGCTATAGCACTATTATATAATGCAAGGATATAAATACAATGGTTTCGTTTATTTACTTGTTTTGCTTGACCAGCGCACGAGGTCAGCAGGCAAAGCGCTACGCCTGGATTGTCCTATCCTGTCGTTCCCCTCTCCTCCTCCCCTCTTTCGGTCATAATGATGAGAGATAGCGTCGAGGACTTCCCTATGAATGAGCCAATTTCTCAAAGTCACGAATTTTCCTCGTCTATAATTAGCGGTCCAGCTGGACTTTTCTATTTAACCTCAAATTATCCCAATTCGACAGCAACAGATTTTAACCAAGATGCATGTTCAACTGCCAACTTTAATGTCAATGATTATCCTTCCGAGTCCCTCAATGTTATGTATACGCTATTCCAGGCAGGCAAATTATGTGACGTTACGTTGCGTGTAAATTCAGAAAAAATTCTTTGTCATCGCATTGTTCTCGCTGGTGCTTCACCATATTTCCGTGCTATGTTCACCAATGGTATGCTCGAGGCTGAAATGCCGGAAATAAATATTCATTACGTCTCTGCCTTAGCACTTGATAGGCTTGTTCGCTTTGCATACACTGGACAAATTCATGTAAATGAACTTAATGTCTGTGAAATCCTTACTGCTGCTACCATGCTACAGATGTCTCATGTTGTTGGTGCCTGCTCTACTTTTTTGGAAAATCAATTACACCCCTCAAATGCCATTGGAATTGAGGAATTTGCCCGGTCCAACGGATGCATTGTTCTTGCACAAAAATCGCAAACTTATATATATAAAAATTTTAGCGACATTGTGAAGCATGATGAATTTCTCTGTCTCAAGCTCTATAAACTTATTAACATGATCAAACGTGACGAACTAAGTGTCAAAACCGAAGCCGAAGTTTATAATGCAGTGATACGTTGGGCAAACCATGATAGGGCCCAGAGAATAAGTGGTCTTATCGAAGCCCTCTCCTTTGTCAGATGCCACAATTTATCTCCAACATTTATTCAAAGCCAAATAAAAAATTGCAGTCTTCTAGCGAGTGCATGCCAAGCCAAAGAATATCTTCAGTGTATTCTGAATGATTTAGTTCGGCATAGGGGTGTTTCTGACAGAAGACGCACTGCTGGCTATTCTCAGGTAAAATGCCTTCGCATTTGGGTACTTTTAATTTTTGACTCTAGGTCATGACTTTTCTATATGATTTTAAGATGTATACATGTCGTTTTCTGCCTATATATAATATATTTTGATTGAAATACTTAGTTTTTTATATTTTTTTTGCACTAATTAATGGTGCTATTCTGACAAACAGATCTTGTAAAGCATTCTAAATGTTGCCTTACTTTTATTGAATACCACTCACTTTCCTATATCTCTGTGTTTGTATCTTCTCCAACCCTCTCTGTTTATTACTTTGCTGTCTTATAAAGCTTTTTATAGCTATTGCAACTAGACGTTTCCATGAGATTTTTCGTCAAATTTTATCATTATTATACAGCCATAAATAATGTTTTTAATTTACATTCATCTGAATGCTGTTTTCACAACTATACTCTTGGTATTTTAGTACTGGTTGACATGTTTATACTTTTTATATACTTATTGCCATAAAATCTCTGTCATTTCTTTACTTCAGATCATCTACTCAGCTGGAGGCTATCTTCGGTTGTCCCTTAGCACCTTTGAATGTTACAATCCTTCTGGTACCTGGCACCATCTTCCGAGCATTCCGAGTCCCCGGAGTGGTTTAGCGGCATGTTCAATTCGTGGATGTATATATCTCGTGGGTGGGAGAAACAATAATGGAATGGCCAATGTTGACGCGCCGCACGTTGATTGTTATGACCCTGGAGTCAACAAATGGCATACTTGTGCTCCCATGTCAGTACCCAGGAATCGTGTGGCCGTCGGTATAATAGATGATATGATCTATGCAATTGGTGGATCGACAAATACGATGCATCATAATACTGGCGAAAAGTAAGTTATCAATTTATCATCCGCTGCATTCTATTCACTAGCACTGGTCTGTATTGTCTGGATGGTTGAAAATTCGCCTACGGATTTCACAGTTTGTTTCATAATTTGTTTGGGAGAAATGACTAATAGCTTACCCTGGTTTCCATGATTTTCTAAACACAGCGCATCTTTTGCCCAGAAGTTTTCTCATCCTATTTATACTCGTAAGCACTTGCTGTTAAATATTAAATTTTTAAATAAGCTCTTTAGTAGGCTTTTGCTGAGGATTTCAAAAGCGAAACTTACCTCGCTAGTTAAATTTATCTAAGCGACATAGAGTCCGAACGACTCAGACATTGCCTTTTTATATAAGCATGGCCCGTACTCTTATCCAAATAAAATATTTATAAGCTTTTATCTATTGAAAATTTCCCACTTCATAGCATTATTTTCGGGCATTGTCATCTTGATGATGATGAATAGTAGAAACGGATGAGATTAAAATTGCAAAAAATCAAATTATGAAACGTGGATAGTCACTATGCGAGTTTGTCTAAAGGATGCGTTGTTTCCTCAGCCATTAGCTTGTTCTATTCTCTTACTGATATTCTTTACCAGTGGAGTTTTTTCAGCTACCCTTTCGCTACTTTCCATTTAGTTATTTTCCTTTGATTTGTCAGAAGCCTTAATGTTCCCATATACATCTTGTCTTTTTATGATCAGACATGCTCTTTTTCCTATGGATGAATTGACAATCAATAAACTCGTCAGTGGTACACTTGACTATCACTGCTACTCTTCAGATTTATCAATGTTTCTTCCGTGTCCATACGACTTTTCGTGACGCATTGAGGCTCGTGTCTTGGTGACTAATCATGCTCTTCCTTTTATAGTTAATTCCACTATTTTGCCTATCAATCACTCTCTCTTCGTGCTTATATGCCTGCACTAGCCTTCCGCGTGCCTCATCCGTACTTCTCGTGCCCAAATTCCTCTCCAGGCGCGTTTGTCCATTTGGCCAACTTTCCTTCCCTCTCCTCCACTTTTCGACCCTATCAGCCCCCAAATGAGCTGCTTGCCATATAGTCTGTCAGCCAGCCAGGCAGCCGGCCGGCCGGCTTTGTCTAAACGGCACGTATGTCTGTTCTCTTCGACCAAATGAATTCCCCCTATAGCCCCTCCCCCATTCGCTCTTTTCGTCTGTCTATTGTATTTGCCTAATAAATGGACAGATTAAAAGACAAGCCATCGGTCGGATCATCGGAGCTAATCGTGGAACAACTGGCCTAGAAATGGCCAAATCTTGCCTCTTGACCCTTTGCCTAGTTGAGGTATCCATATCGCGCCCTCTGCCGGTGCCGTCATCGGGTAGTAAGCATGATGCCATATCACAAAACCGCCTTAGCGATTCACTTCACCGGCCGAACTGTGTCCGTTATTCGATCGGTTATCAGATTTCCTCGGCCTCTTCATCCCCAGCGCTGCTGCTGGTCATATTCTTAAGGATTTTGAAACATTTGTCGCCTCTCGGCGGCTTGATGACCTGTCGATCCGTCTGCCCTCGGTTTGCCGTTGTTCCAGACCCGGACATAGAACAGGTATCCAGGACAGGGGTGGGCGAGTGATAGGATCAGAGACATCCTTTCATGCATAGTTCCCATGGCTCCCCATCTTTCGCTCCGAATTTACACCCCTTCTTCCATATTCCTTCCTCTCTTAGCTAACTAGCTTTCTCCTTGCCTCTTTCCTCATATTATTCACACATACACACCTTGCCTTTATCGGCGTTCACATACCGATGCAAATATACACGCCTAGAGTCGCATGCATTTTTGCGTCGCATGTGTAGCCAGCCTTCATTCTGACATTGGGGTTTGCCCCAAATCGGGACTGGGCAAATCGAATTTGTGCACCCAGCTCGTACACTAGCTAGCTGACCAGCTGGCTATCTGTCCGACCTATCTGCCTGCTTGCCTACTTTCCTTAGGCGTTCCTTGCTGCGTCCTATTCGTATAACCATCGTCGAGGCTTGGCTAAATAACCCTTGCCAGGCCTAACCTGGCCGCCTGTCCTGCCCAGCGGTCCGACCGTTGACAGCCTGGATGACCAGCCAGGTGTGTTAGGGTAAGGTGGTGAAGAGAACTCTGTGATCATGACGGCAGTGGTCTTCTGCTCATCTGCTCAAATGAATGATTCAACCTATGGGGCCTAAGCTCTATCATCATGGCCTGGTTGGTTGCATTTGTCTGTATATGTTTATATCGCCCACCGGTAGTAATGTTGCTCAGTTTATTTGTCTGGGGGCGCGGTCCAACCTATAGTCTAGACCCAGAGAGCTAGTGGGAAAGAATCAAGCAATCGCCACCGGAAAAACTTGTATAAACTAGTTCGGTATATGTCTCACCATTGTTTAACTGATTGTAAGCAAAGAATACGCTTGTTGTTTGGTTTACCCGCTTGCTGATGTACCGCTGATTAGTTAATTGGTTGATTGCTGAGACTGAGTAAGTTGACTTGTTTTTGTTGACCGCTGATTGAATGCTCTCTAGCCAGGTGTTAAGTTGGACTATACGCCAGGATATCTTATCTTCTTACTAGAGTAGGGTACCAATGATAGGCATAGCCATAGCCCCCTATTCTGCGTTCTCGGGATATATTCTCTTAGAGCATTATCCGTGATCACACTTTTTAACAGGCTCCACTGTAGCTTCTCATTGTTGATGGGCAAAGTAATATAGTAGGACTTTGTCGGCTAACCGCGTCTTTGTGGTCGTTTGGTTGCATCAGCTCGGTCGTGTGTGTCGCTCTTAAGTGTATTTACATACTTGTGCGCTGAACACATCGATTAGCAGATCTAGCCTTAGCCTAATTTTCTATTTTGTCCGGTATACATACTTAGGAAATTGTGAGGGGGCATGGCGAATTTATTCTCAGCCATTCAGTGTAATTCAGCTAATCACTACTGGTTTTATCTGATTAGAACGAACTGATCTGGATTAAAAGCAGAACAAGCGTATTTGTCCAAACCAGTGACGGTTATTCCTTCATTTCTAGACTAGAACGAGTAAAAATTGAAAATTAGACCTCACCATAACATTTGATGATTATTTGGAGTGGACTGATATAATCTGTTCTTTTATTAGCTC